GCACAAATTTTTGTGCACCGGGCCTCTAGTCCTATATAATAAAAGGGTAATATGCAAATTCACCCTAACAGCAGAGCCATTGGGAACGACTGGTCACTATGACACACTCTGACCACCAGGGGGCAGATGCTCAATGCAGGAGCTGCCCCCTGGTGGTCAGTGCACCCCCACACTCTGCTCAGCCACAAGCCAGGCTGATGGCTGCCAGCACTGTGGTGGTGGCGGTAGCCTCTCCCGCCTCCTCAGCAATGCTAAGGATGTCCAACTGCAGCTTAAGCCTGCTCCCCGCTGGCAAGTGGACATTCCCTGAGGGCTCCAGGGCTGCCAGAGGGATGTCTGACTGCCAGCTTAGGCCCGATTCCCTGGGGAACGGGCCTAAGCCAGTAGGTGGACATCCCCTGAGGAGTCCTAGACTGTGAGAGGGCACAGGCCAGGCTGAAAGAACCCCTCCCCCCCCCCCCCCGATTGCACAAATTTTTGTGCACCGGTCTTCTAGTGATATTATAAAATATAATTAAGTGAACTGAAAATTCTCACCATTCTCCATTTATATTAAAAACTAATTTAACCCTGGCCAGTGTGGTTCAGTTGGTTGGAGCATCATACCTTATACCGAAAGTTCGTGGGTTTGATTCTTGGTCAGGGCACATACTCAGATTGCCTGTTCCATCCCCAATGGGGTGGGTACAAGAGGCAACTGATTGATGTTTCTCTCTTACATCAATGTTTCTCTCTCTCTCTCTCTCTCTCTCTCTCTCTCTCCCTCTCTCTCTCTCTCTCTCTCTCTCTCTCTCTCCCTCCTTCCCTTTCTCCCCTTCATCTCTCTCTAAGATCAATAAAAACATGTCCTTGGGTGAGGATTTAAAAACAAACAAACACCCACACACACACACTAATTTTATGTTATACAAAAAGGTTTAAAAAAAGAAATTGTTTTCTTAGTCTTGCTGACGCATCATGATGAACTTCACACTTTAATCCTTCAGGGTGGAAGTTGACCAGGAAGAAGTGTCAGACACTCAGGCCACACAATAGTGTGACCTTTAAGATTTTTTATTTTGTTTTCAGGATTGGAATATAGAACATGAGATGATAATAATAACAGTTAACATTGATTAGGTGAGCTCATGTTCTATGAGCCTTACATATGTAACCTCACTTTATCATCACAGCAGCTCTATTGGGCAGATGCTGTTGTTATCCCCTCTCTGCAAAAGAGGATCACAGGAGTTAAAGAACTGGCTGAGAGATGTCAGGGCCAGAGTTCAAATCAAAGCATCTAGCCCTGGAATCCCTGCTCCTGACCACTTTGCCCTCCTGTGCACTCTCTATGTTTGGAGCAAGGAGGAGTGTAGTGGCATTATCACATGAGGATGAAGTTTGTGCCTGGTTAGTAAGCAGTGTATACTATAGGCTGTTATTGCTCTCATATTTGTGGTTGAAGGTGAGAATTGAATGTTCTTAGTTTATTTTTTATTACTAATTACAATTTAAAATATCTTCATTTGAATTCCAATAATGTTTTTTACTTATGCATTGAGCAAATGTTTATCATGTACCTACTATATGCCTAGCTGCTGTAGGTAGTGGGGACATAGGAGTGAACATGACAAAACCTTTCCCTCTTGAGTTAATGGGAAAGACAGCCAACAAATATATAAGTCGCTATGGAGAAATTTTCATGCAATCTTTGAAGAGATGGCATTTGTAGGAAATAAACATTAGTGAGGGAGTGAACTTTGGGAATATCTGAGGAGCATGTTCCAAGCAGAGGGAACAGTTGGTGCAGATGCTGGAAGTGGGAGAGGCAGCAGGGAGGGGATGTGTAAGGGGATGTGTTGGAGATAAAGGAGGAAAGTGGACAGGGCTGTCCTGCAGGGCTTTGTCATGTTCACTCCTATGTCCCCACTGCCTGCAACAGCTGGGATATAGTAGGTACTCGATAAATATTTGCTCAATGATTAAGTGAAGAACATGTAGGTGGGTTTCTAGTATGGGCCGGCATGATCTTCGGGTTGGCTGCTGTGTGGAATAATCTTGGAGAAAGTGTTGCCCCTTATGATAACTTTCCAACTCAGACTAGCCTAATTTATATTTCAAAGTTATGGCCTGGCCATGTAGCTCAGTTGGTAGGAGTGTGGTCCCATGCACCAAAAGGTTTCAGGTTTGCTTCCTGGTCAGGGCACAAACCTAAGTTGCAGGTTCAATCCCGGTTAGGGGGTGTTTGGGAGGCAACAGATCATGTTTCTTTCTCACATCAACATTTCTCTTTCTCTCTTTCTCTTTCTCTCTCATTAATAAAAGCATATCCTCAAGTGAGGAATATAAAAATAAAGTTATTCAGATGCATTTAACACCCTTTCTGTATTCTCTCATTTGTTAATCATTTGAAGGTGGAAAATGATACTGTGAGTCCCCTGCAGGCAGAACATAGCCTTGTGCTTATGATGACCTGAGAGTCAAGTCTTTCAAGTAGAGAAACAGTGCTGCTGGAGAATGGAGCTTTGGTTATCTTTAATTTAAAATAGATGAAACAAATGTGAAATGGCACAGTGAACCTCTTTCCCCATTATAGTACACGTTCTTTCAGCTTTGATTATTATGCACATGCATGGGTGGGGTCCCTACACCTGGTAGGAGATCAGGGCCAATTGGGGTTGTCTCACCCAGTCCTGATAGGGGCCGGGGGAAGGGAGGGTAGGGAGGACTGCGGGAGGTTGGCTACTGGTGCTGGGGAGATTGGCTGTCCGAGGGAAGTTGGTTGTGGGAGCACACTGACCACCAGGGCGCAGCTCCTGCATTGAGCATCTGCCCCCTGGTGGTCAGTGCGCATCATAGTGACTGGTCGATGGGTCTTTTTGGTCATTTGGTTGTAACAGTCGCTTAGGCTTTTATATATATATATAGATAGATAGATAGTTCTTTTGAATTTTATTTACATATTTAGCCACATACAGGCATTAAAAAAAAGTTCTATATTGTATTTATGTGAAATATGCCAGGAGTAATTTAAATGAGGAGGAAAGCTTATACCTGGTATCTGGTATTTTTTCTTATAATGTAAACATTTTCACATTATATCATTATAAATGATAAATAATTCATATGCTTTATGTATCTAATATGGATTTTTTTTTATTCCATGAAACTCCCAAAATGATTCTTATGTTTGTATTCAGACTACCTAAAATTACAAACTCAAACAGTATTCTTAAAACATGGTGATAGCCCTAGCTGGTTTGGCTCAATAGATAGAGCGTTGGCCTGTGGACTGAAGGATTCCAAGTTCAATTCTGGTCAAGGGCACATGCCAGGATTTCGGGCTTGATCCCCAGTAGGGGGCATGCAGGAGGCAACTGATCAATGATTCTCTCTCATCATTGATGTTTCTATCCTTCTCTCCCTCTCCCTTCCTCTCTGAAATCAATAAAATACATTAAAAAATAATTAAAGGGCATCAGTTCGGGGCTAAAACCCACATTTATTAGTGTATGAATGTGCATGAGGGGTTGATGGGTTCTAGGCTCCTCACACCATAGGGGTCCCTGTTGGTCACCCCTATGAGGCCTTCGGGTAAGCTTTGGTTGGGAAATAAGGTTTCCAATGCACACTGCTTGCCATGTAAGGACCAGCAGACTTTTCTATATTTATTCAGAGGCATTTCCAAGATTTGGATTATGGATTAAAATCAACTTTTAAAAAAATCTCCTTTCTTTTTGTTTGCTTGCTTTTTATGGATTAACTGAATAAAATCTGTGTTAGTTAAGTATTCTGATTATTTGCAAGCTAAATGAGCAAAAGTGAACCAGGAACCCTTCCTAGCCAGGGCATTAATTTCAGTGTATGTTAGCAATGCAATTTCTTATCAGTCAGCCTCACTGTATGTGAGAAACATGTCACCATAACTCCTAGTAACAGTGCAGTGAACTCTAGTAACTGAAAATTTTTATAGCCGATGACTTCACTAGACTTGTCTAGACAGCAGTTACTCTGTGAAATCATAGCATATTAGGGCTGGAACAGATCTAATAAAGATATTGTAACTTACATGGCCTAAATATTCTCTTTGCCATTGTAGCCATAGGGTGGGGGTTTATGTGACAGTGAGACCAATGTTGTTAGCCTGGAAAGTGGGCAACTGATAGGCACAAGTATGGAAAGGGCCTAGCCTTGGTTTTGGATGAAGTATAAACATGCAAAACTATTCTCTGGAATTTGAAAGAAATTTGATGTCTGATTATGTTTGTCAAAATGGGAGAGACTCCCTGGAGATTATACCTAGAGCAAATAATTGCAGTCAAATCCATAATCTTGGGGTTGACTCTCTTGGCAAAGTAATATTAGCTTTTAAAAAAAATAATGCTAGCATTCTGATTTTTGCTAATGAAATGCAGATGCTCTCAAACATTCATTCAGCAGAGGGATTTGGACTAGGTCTGCATGTTTCCCTAACCTTCAGCCATTTTAGTCCTTGACAAAATAATTAGTCTATAGAACAACTGATTGAAAAGTTTTTAACTGATTGTTTTGCTCTCCTGGCTACTGACATAAACGTGCCAGCTATGATTTAATGTAGAGCTTGAACTCTGTAATCCCACAGTTTTACTGGCCAGTGCCTGGCAAAGACCAGAATGTACCTGCTAGTGCAGAGGAGTCCAATGGCTTTGATTGATGGAGATTTGGTCTGAATCCCTAGGATAAAAATAGCCTTGTCTCTGGGCATTTAAGCAATTGGATGGGTGGGACATTACTAAGTGTCCCGAGAAGAAATATTAGCTGAGCTTCTCATTAACTTTGTGAATGTGAGGAAGTGTCTTTCGCCTGTAAGACTTTCTTCAGAGAAAGAACACTGACGATTTCCTGATGATTTTGATTTATTAGCAATTAATGTAAAGTGCTTTGTATTTGGTGAAATGTTTTCATGTGAAGTATACTTTGCTCTGATCCTGAGACTGAGGGAATAACTCTTGTCTCTCCCTCTGACTGGCATATTTGTGCAGGAAGCTGCTCTCTGTAGACAGCTCCCCATGGAAGCCGAGACTCTGGCCACGGTTCAGGCTGCTGTTAACCCCCCAACCATGACTCCAGACATGAGATCCATCACTAATAATAGCTCAGATCCTTTCCTCAATGGGTAAGTGAATATTCGGGACCACTTATTTTTGCTTACTTTATTTTGTGATCTAGAGTATGGTGGGTGTTTGTGTGGGAAAAGGTGGGGAGCTTGGAGATTAGAGTGAGGATAGAGGTAGCAAGTAGTGGCAGAAAAAATAAAAGCAGAGGAAGTTAACTACTTTTCTTTTTTTAATCTCAAATTTAAAAATTGGTGATATGACATGGACTGAAACCCTTGTCAATAATTTTAAAATGGGGATGAACTTATTTCAATGGGATGGTGTTACACAGTAATTATTTGGAAAAATCTTGTGGTTTAATGTAGCTAGTGGGGGTGGGGGTGGGGAAGCATGCCATGTGACAAATAGAGAACATAACAGTTAAGAAATGATGTTTATGGTGAAATGTGAGTAAGGTCTGTAGCTCAGTTAATAGTGTTATATGATGTCAGTTTCCTGGTTTTGATCCTTGTCCTGTGGTTACATAAGTGTCCTTGGGGAGGCAGGGGGAGAGTGCACGGGGATCTGTTCCTTTTGCATCTTCTATGTGATTCTAAAATTATTTCACAATAAAATTAATTTTAAAAAGATGATGTTTTAAAATAGGAAACATAAGAACAGACAGAAAAGATAATTTAGTCAGGAATATCTTCATGAGCAGAAGTAGTTACCTTTAGTTTCTTAAACTCAAATAAAGGGCAGGGTTCTATTTCCTGTGCCTTTTTTGTCCTTTCAGAGGATTCTGGCAAACAAATACAATTATGAATGCTATTAAAAACAGAGAGAGGTGAAAAAAAAACAGCTAAAATAATGAAGGAAAGTTTTTAAAGTGTTGATTTTAAAGTATTTCAAATGTTCAGAAAAGTATAAAGAATAATGTGAGATTCACCATGTACCCCAAACCCAGATTTCCCATATTTTTATAGATTTATTTTTTGAAATAAGCATTACAGTTAATATTTAAACTCATTCCTACCACTGCACATTCATCACACATGCTTTTATGCTTCTGGTTGCCTGATAATGTGTGCATCCCTAAGCAGCGTTCAACACTGTTTTCTATTTTTTTTTTAATTTATATAATGCTATTATACTTGATATGTAGACTAGTGTTCAAAATACCGTTTTAAGATGAAAAGGAAATCAACCAATTTACTATAAATAGCCAATTTTATTTGCTTACAATTTATTAATTTCATGGACGTTGGGTATATGTTTCAAAAAAATTAAAAGGAGATACAAATTGTGCCTTTCTTCATTACCTGGAAACTTGGGCCAAATGACAGAACTACACTAGGTTAGGGTTTTCATGACTATACTTTAATTTGGAGATTTTTTTAGTGGGTTCAACTTTTTTTTTTTTTTTAATATATTTTATTGATTTTTTACAGAGAGGAAGGGAGAGGGATAGAGAGTTAGAAACATTGATGAGAGAGAAACATCGCTCAGCTGCCTCCCGCACACCTCCCACTGGGGATGTGCCCCCAACCAAGGTACGTTCCCTTGACCAGAATCGAACCTGGGACCCTTCAGTCCGCAGGCCGTCGCTCTATCCACTGAGCCAAACCCGTCAGGGCTAGTGGGTTCATCTTGACATTCCTCCACTTTTGCTCTCCAGCGGGCCATATCATTCGAGGGAGCAGAGCACCGACAGCGGCCTGGGGCTAGGATGCTACAGTGTCCCCACCACCCCGGAGGACTTCCTCAGCAATGTGGATGAGATGGACACAGGTAAGAGCAAAGCGTGCAAGTACATGCAATGAGTTTGCATTTTTTTTTAAATATCTTTATTGTTCAGATTATTACAGTTGTTCCTCTTTTTTCCCCCCATAGCTCCCTTCCACCCGGATCCCACCCCACCCTCTGCCCTTAGTCCCCCCACCCCACTGTCCTCATCCATAGGTATACAATTTTTGTCCGGTCTCTTCCTGCACCCCCACACCCCTTTCCCCCCCAAGAATAGTCAGTCCACTCCCTTTCTATGCCCCTGATTCTATTATATTCACCTTTTATTCAGTTCATCAGATTATTAAATCACTTGAATTTTAGATTCACTTGTTGATAGATGTGTATTTGTTGTTCATAATTTGTATCTCTACCTTTTTCTTCTTCTTCCTCTTCTTAAAGGATATCTTTCAGCATTTCATATAATATTCATTTGGCAGTGATGAACTCCTTTAGCTTTTTCTTATCTGTGAAGCTCTTTATCTGACCTTCAATTCTGAATGATAGCTTTGCTGGATAAAGTAATCTTGGTTGTAGGTTCTTGGCATTCATCACTTTGAATATTTCTTGCCACTCCCTTCTGGCCTGCAAAGTTGCTGTTGAGAAATCAGCTGACAGTCGTATGGGTACTCCCTTGTAGGTAACTGACTGTTTTTCTCTTGCTGCTTTTAAGATTCTCTCTTTGTCTTTTGCTCTTGGCATTTTAATTATGATGTGTCTTGGTGTAGTCCTCTTTGGATTCCTTTTGTTTGGGGTTCTCTGTGCTTCCTGGACTTGTAAGTCTATTTCTTTCACCAGGTAGGGGAAGTTTTCTGTCATTATTTATTCAAATAGGTTTTCAATATCTTGCTCTCTCTTTTCTTCTGGCACCCCCATAATTCGGATGTTGGTATGCTTGAAGTTATCCCAGAGGCTCCTTACACTATCTTCATATTTTTGGATTCTTTTTTCTTTTTGTTTTTCCGGTTGGGTGTTTTTTGCTTGTTCATATTTCAAATCTTTGACTTCATTCTTGCGATCCTCTAGTCTGCTGTTGGAACTCTGTATAATATTCTTTATTTCAGTCAGTGTATGCTTAATTTCTAGTTGGTCCTTTTTCATATCCTCGAGTATCTCACTAGATTTCTTGAGGGTCTCACTAAATTTATCGGTGGTTTCTAGAAAATTCTTGAAAAACCTTATAATCGTGGTTTTGAACTCTATATCCAGTCGTTTGCTTTCCTCCATTTCTGTCATTTGTGACCTGTGTCTTTGTCTCCACATTTTGGCTGCTTCCCTGTGTTGATAGAGTGGCTTTGTGTGCTAGGTGACCTATAGGGCCCAGTGGCTCAGCCTCCCCAATTACCTGAGGTGGACACTCTTGGTGCACCCCTTTGTGGGCTGTGTGCACAGTCTTGTTGTAGTTAAGCCTTGATTGTTGTGGGTATCACTGGGAGGAATTGACCTCCAGGCCAATTGGCAGTGAGAATCAGCTGTGTCTACGCTGGGAGAACTTCTGTGCTGAAGACACCCTTCTGGGGCAAAACTTGCTTCAGTGGGGCTTTGGTGCTCACTGAGTCTGCTCCCTGAGTGTGTCCCTTATGGATCTGAGGAGTTGTAATCTGGATGGTCCCACTCTGACCACTGGGTACACTGGCTCTTGGATCTCTAAGGAGGTGCTAATTTAGCCTCTGCCTGAGGCTACCAGCAGGAGCTATGAGAGATCTGCAGATTCGTCTTCTTTGTTTGGGGTTTGGAGGTGCTCAGATGGGGCCCAGCTGTGAAGCAGTGCAAGCTTCTGTGCGGCCTTGGGCCTTCTCTTGGAAGTTCTGGGTCTCTCTGACCCAGCTGCAGTTTGTTAGGTAATTTTCAGATTGCAAAGGGCCAGGCCTTTCATATGCAAAATCCTCTGTGCACAGCTTGGGTGGGGCGGGGTCTCACGGGATCAACAGGGCTGAGCAAGCAACTATGGCTGCTCCTCAGTCCTACCCTAAGAGGCCCCGTGTCTCAGTGTCCTGGCGGTAATCGCTGCAAGTACCTCTGAGAGAAAGCTGCCCTCAAGTTCCGACCAATGCCAGACAGTCCAGTTTCTCCCCGTATGAGTTTTGGTCCCCAGAGACTCACCCAGAACTGGAGTTCAGAGCATTCGGGAGCTTGAGACGCCCTCCCGATTGAAAAAGACAACTGCGTCCTCAGGTGCCAGCCCTTTCCACATGTGCCTCTGTACCTCTGCACTTTACTTCCGCACCTCCTCTGAGTCTCAGTGTGCTTTTCTCTTTCCTTCTAGTTGTAGAATTTCCACTCAGCCAGCCTTCCTGTGGTTCTGGATGATGTCTGTTTTGTCTTTTAGTTGTATTTTTGAAGTGGTTGTGCGAGGCAGGAATTTCAGGTATTTACCTATGCAGCCATCATGGTTTCTCGGGAGTTTGCATTTTTAAAATCATCTTTATAGTCATCTCCATTCTGGAATCCAACCAGAAACAATCTCAACAAAGCACTTTTTAAAAAATATTTTTAATTTTTTTTTTATTGATTTCAGAGAGAGGAAGAGAGAGGGAGACAGGGATAGAAACATCAATGATGAGAGAGAATCATTGATGGGCTGCCTCCTGCACACCCTCTACTGTGGGTGGGGCCCGCATCCTGGGCAGGTTCCCTGACTGGAAATCAAACCGTGACCTCCTGGTTCATGGGTTGATGCTCAATCACTGAGCCACGCTGGCTGGGCCCCAAGCACTCTTAGTAAACTCTAGTCCCTCCCCCATAGTTTATATAAAAATAGTTTTGTATGTGGCACAAGATTTTCAATTCTGCCTTTTTTTTTTTTTTTTTTTTGCTTGTCCTTGCTTCACATAGCCCTTTCCTCACCATCATATCAGGACACCGCTGTCTGCTTGTCATTCTTACACAGTGAAATAGTGATGTGTTTGGTCCTTAGTTATAATAAACTAGAGGCATGTTGTACGAAAAGATTCATTCAATAAGCTTTCCCTTCCCCTGCCTGCTGGCACCAGTTTTCCTCCGGCACCTGGGACTCAGGCCTTTGGTCTGGCTGGAGCCGCCTTCAGTCTACGCTGCTCCGGCTTGAGCTGCCTTCAAGCCTTCGCTGCTCCAGCCGGAGCCGCCTTCAGTCTTCGCTCCACCGCTTTGCACCTACGTATGCAAATTAACTGCCATCTTTGTTGGCGGTTAATTTGCATATCTTGCTGATTAGCCAATGGGAGGCGTAGCAAAGGTATGGTCAATTACCATGTTTGTCTATTATTAGATAGGATAAGTCACTTTCTCTCTTGAGAAAGTACTGGTTTATAGTTCCACCAGCACTGCATTTGGAGGGCAGTTGACTGTGGGCTTTGCACAGATAAGCAACTCAGAATATTCTAAATTGTCAGCTCCAAATCCCAACATGGTACAGTGTCCTTCCTCCCTCAGCAATTAAAATGAAGAGTTGGGTGACTTCACCCTGGTCCCCAGCCTGCAGGCCAGTCCTCTGCTGGCTTCCCGGTTACCTCTCCCTTCCTCCTCTACTCAAGGAGTAAGGCCTTCAATTGCAGAAACCTAATTTGGACTTATTAGCCAAATCTAGACTTAATTATCAAAGTCCTAAACTCCCAGAGATATTCTAGAACCAAAAATAAAAGATAGCAGAGGTGTCCACTATTTGGAGTTTTTATGCAGGTTTCTCCTTTATTCTGATGGCTGACAGAAAATTAATTGTTTTGTGGTGAAAATAATTGGTTTTCCCACTGCTGGTGTCCACAGTGCCTGTATTTGTCACATTCTGCTTCTCGAAGCCTGCTCTTCCCATCTGACTCTGAATTATCGGTCAGCCAAGAGACAGACTTGCCAGGAGTGTGGGCGCTGGGGCACTGCCCAGGTCTCCCGCAGGCATCATGTGCATGTTTAGAGGGCTGTGTAGCTGTATTGTGAGGAGTCATACAGGAATAGTTTTACCTGTTTGTTTTGTTATATTTTAATTTGTTACTTCAGCTTTCTCCCTCCTAGCTTGTCTTCCTCTCTCTCTTTCTTCATCTCTCTCTCCTTTTTGGTGTGAGATTTATTTGCCCTCTTGGGAGTGGCTCCTTCCTATGTTTAATAATTGTTTGCTTCATCTTTTAAACACTGGGAAGCCAGCACAGATAAAGCAAAATTACATAAGAAAAGACTAAGGAGTCCTAAATCTAAGCTTGACATTTAAAAAAAAAAAAAAAAAAAAAAAAGGTGAATTCTATTCTATGGCTTTTTAAAATAGATAATGTTTTAAAGCAAAATGTGGAATTAAGTGGTGTCCTGAAAGAGCAGTCTTTGCAGACAGGCAACTGAAGTTGAGTTCTTGCTTCCCACTTCCTGCCATTGACTTTGGGTGAGTGCCATCAGTTTCCTCGCCTGTAAAGTGGGACCCCTGTGCTCACTTCTTAGAGCTATGAGGAATCATGAGACCACAGAGCTTGGTCTCCTTCTAAGAAGGCTGAGGTAAGGTTCCAAAGGAACATGATAAATGGTAGGGCTCCAGGGTACCCTGGTTAGGTGATTGTCAGCCCACTGACTTGTGAGTCACTTCTCTGAAGGCTTTATAGGAAATGGGGGTAAGCCCTCTCAAGGAGAGGAATGTAATTACCCATAACAAGATGAGGGGAGGCTGAAGGTGTGTGGAGCTCCAGTGTAGCTAGAAAAGCCAGTTAGGTCCATTGACCACATGCAGAATGGGAGTGAGCCAGCTGAGTACTCCCCTTGTGAAAGGCACACAAAACCACAGCTGAACGTATAGAGCAAAGCCTGGGAGGTAACTCATCTTTCCAGAATATTTTGAAATAATCACACCCTTTTAAGAACTGCCTGCTTTTTGTCTCCCACTTTTTAAGTGGATAAAACTGCAAAAACCAAAAAGATTACAATGAGATTGCAAAGTTGTTCCAAAGAGAGATAATTTAAAATTGTTGACCTCAACAAAGAACCTTAACTAGTCTCCTCATGCCTTCCATGTCTGAGGAGAAAGGATAAGGTGAATTATTTAAAACAGAGAGTTTTTAGTTGGCTAAAACAATGTATTCTGGAGTTATTAGAAAGTTAAAATGGGAAATCAATAGGGATAAAGGTTTCTAACTGGCGATGAAGAAAAAAAGAGATCAGCACCTTAGATCATTCTTCAAGGCAGATAACTTTTTTTAACCTCACTTCCAATCTGTTACACTCTAGTGGCAGAAAAAGTTATTTTGGATTTTCTTTTCTATTTTGATGTTTTTCACTACATGGTTGAACTTGATTTAATTTTTCATTGTATTTTGCAATGAAAATCCTGTAAAATATTGCCAAGAAGCATTGATATTTTATGAGTTATAGAAAAGTCATGAAACTTTGCTATCACCCCAATAAAGTTGGATTATGTTTCCCTCATTACTAGGAAGGATATAATTTTTCTCCCTGGAAAATATTTAATTTATATGCTTAAAATGAATTTTCTGCAGTTTTATTCAGAATAGTGAATTTCTATGCAAAGACTACTGCACTCTATGACACAAAAGCTAATGTAATGAGTTTCATAAAAAAGATGCTGTGGTGGGATCAATGTTCCTCAATCTTTGAGGTATATTGTATTCCTTCAGAAAATTGTTTGGGGCCGTATACATTAACTAGTTGTTCTAATATTCTGTAATCAATGGTGATTGAGTTCTAAGTATTTTCTTTCTTTAAGCACATTGACAAACATTTATTGTATTTTTGTATGTATATGAGTTTGTGGGAATGGTGCCCAGAGCCTTGGGTGCTTTACTCCATTTTGTGAAAATGGTGCTATAATACCAACTTCATATGGGTAAACAGGGCCAGACATCTCATATACAACAAGTTACATATATCTAAGGCCACGCAGTTAAAAAGGTCTATGGACACAAGGTCAGTACATTTTCTCCTACACTATCATATCTAATAAAAGAGAAACATGGTAATTAGCCATACCTCCGCTACCCTTCCCATTGGCTAATCAGCAAGATATGCAAATTAACTGCCAGCCAAGAAGGCGGCCAGCAGCCAGGCAGCTTGAAGCTAACATGAGGCTTACTTGCTTCAGTGATAGAGGAAGCCAACGTTCCCCGCCTGCCGCTGCTGGCCTCTGAGCTTGCAGTTTGAAACATTGTTACAAATATAGAAGTTAAACAAAACCCCAGAAACCTGCTTTCAGCCAGCCAGGATCTCAGAACTGGAGTTGAAACAGTGTTTCAATTATAGAACCCAAACAAACCAGATACCTGCTTTCAGCAGCTGAGGCCTCAGAGCTGGAGCCAAGCCTCAAGCTAAAGCTGGCCCAGAATAAAAAAAAAAGAAAAGAAAAAAAGGAGCAGTTGGGAGCTTCAGTCACTCGCCAGCCTGAAAACATCCCTCAGCCCCTCACCCAGACTGGCCAGGCACCCCAGTGGGGACCCCCACCCTGAAGGGGGTGTGACCAGCTGCAAACAGCCATCATCCCCTCACCCAGGCTGGCCAGGTACCCAAGCGGGACCCCCACTCTGATCCAGGACACGCTTCAGGGCAAACCAGCCAGCCCCCACCCATGTACCAGGCCTCTATCCTATATAGTAAAAGGGTAATATGCCTCCCAGCACCAGGATCAGCGGAGCCGCGAGGCCTCCCGGCACCGGGATCAGCGTGACAGGGGGCAGCGCCCAAACCCCCTGACCACACTGCAGCTCTGTGTGTGACAGGGGGCGGGGCACAACCTCCCTATCCTTCCTGCTCTGTTCGTGACAGGGGAAGGCGCCCCAACCCCCTGATCAGCCCTGCTCTGTGCCTGATAGGGGGGAGCTCCCCAACCCCCTGATTGCCCTGCGGCTCTGTGTGTGACAGGCTGTGACGCCCCAACCCCCCCACCCCCCCACGGGCCCTGCTCTGTCTGTGACGGGGTAGAGCCATAACCTCCCCATCGGCCCTGCCTTGAGTGTGACATGGTGCGGCACCCCAACCCCCTGATCCGCCTTGCTCTGTGTGTGACAGGGGGCGGTGCCCCAACTCCCCTGTCGGCCCTACTCTGTGAGTGACGGGGGAGCTCCCCAACCCCCTGATCAGCCCTGCTCTGTGCGTGACAGGGTACGGAGCCACAACCCCCCTGATGGGCCCTGCTCTGTGAGAGACAGGGGGTGGCGCTGCAACCTCCCCATCGACCCTGCCTTGAGTGTGACGGGGCGGTGCCCAACCCCCTAATCGGCCCTACCCTGAGCGTGACTGAGGGTGGCATCGCAACCTCCCGATCCGCCCTGCTCTGTGCATGACAGGGGCCGGAGCCCCAACTCCCCAATCGGCCCTGCTCTGAGCCCGACCAGGGGCTGCACCTAGGGATTGGGCCTGCCCTCTGCCACCCAGGATCAGGCCTAAGCCAGCAGGTCGTTATCTCCCGAGGGGTCCCAGACTGCCAAGGGCACAGGCCGGGTTGAGGGACCCACTCCTCCCCCCCGAGTGCACAAATTTTTGTGCACCGGGCCTCTAGTCTATATATATATAAAGAGGTAATTTGCTAATTGTCCTAACAGTGTCTCAGTCACGATCAGTCTACGGATACGCACGCACAGGAGCTGGTGGGCGGGGATGGGGGCGGGGACTTGTGCCACCGGGACATGAGGCTGCAGCAGGGGGCGGCCCCCCTGGCGGAGGCGTGTGCAGGCCTGCAGCACCATCCAACCTGGAGGGGGGTGTCAGGATGGGGGCAGGGCCTTGGCAAAGAGCTCTCAGCACTCCTGCGCCGGGGTCTGAAGGCGCGGAGAGGAGGGGAGAGCACAAAGGCAGTTAGGGGGTTTAGGCCAGTAGGGGAGAGCAGATAGGTAGTTAGGGCAATCAAGCCAGGAGGGCAGTGCATATAGGAAGTTAGGGGGATCAGGCCAGGAGGGGAGAGAAGATAGGCAGTTAGGGGGATCAGACAAGGAGGGGAGAGCAGTTAGGGGGATCAGGCAGGGAGGCAGGTGAGCGCTTAGGAGCCAGTGGTTCTGGATTGTGAGAGGGATCCCAGATTGGAGAGGATGCAGGCCAGGCTGAGGGACCCTCTCGCCCCTACCCTTCCCCACCGCCCCACCCCTACCACGTGCACGAATTTCATGCACTGGGCCAGTAGTTATTCATAAAGAACATGGATTCCTTATGTCACACCCCAGACACTTAATTTTATTCTAGAACAGCATTTTCTCAACTGTCTCTATAAACTCTAGTTTATCAGGACCAAGTTCTGCCAAAGTTGGATTAGGTGATTACATGTGCTTAGGTGAGGGTGGCTTAAACAAAAGAAAGCAGACTTCTTTATTGCAAGACATCTCAGAACCTTCCTGAGCTCACAGGCATTGTGACTCGCCTGCATTGTGAGAAAGGCAGATGGTGTGGGGGGTGGAGTGGAGGGAGGGGCATGGTCTGCAGAACCCACTTTATAAAATGCTTTGACATTGATCCCTAGTGCCACCAATGAAGACAGCCTTTTAATAATACTGTTAAAAGAAACTCCTCACTATTATCTTTGAACATAGAGGGAGAATATGGGTACATATAAGCTTGCAATTAAATCCTGAGATTATAGCCCTGTGATAAGGCATTTCTTAACAGGCAGGGCCTCTCGACTCTTTCACAAAACAGCTCTTCATGCCACTGTCTCGGGAAGGCACAGGTCAGACCCCCAGGGCCTTCACCTGTGCCTCCCCTGTCTCCCAGGATTTGTCCCTCTGGACATGTCTACCCAGGACAGTTGCAGATTCCCCTGGCACCTCTGCCTCTCCTAGGAGTGAGCATCACCAGCTCAGTGTCAGTGTGGTAGCTGAAATTTTGCTCAGAGATGAAATATTTTATACCCATAGCAACGAAATCTGTTTCCGTATAGGCATAGCACAGGTGAAGACGTGAGTTATGTTAACATTTGAACTGCCCCTCTTTCAAGAACCTGAAAAAGGAGTGAACATGGTTTCTTCTCATTCTGTTGCAGGGGAGAACGCAGGGCAGGCACCCATGAACATCAATCCTCAGCAGACCCGTTTCCCTGATTTTCTGGACTGTCTCCCGGGAACCAATGTGGACCTCGGAACTCTGGAATCTGAAGATCTGATCCCCCTCTTCAATGATGTAGAGTCTGCTCTGAACAAAAGCGAGCCCTTTCTGACCTGGCTGTAGTCAGTATATTGTAACCTGTGTGCAGCCATGACCTGACATTTCCTGGGCCTCTTGGGAAAAGCGATGGAGCAGAGCAAGTCTGCAGGTGACCCGCTTTCTGCGCTCATGACTTATGCTCCCTCCTTTCCATGTGGCCAGTTTAATCATTGCCTGGATTTGATTGATAGTAATCTAAGTTAAACATAAATAAATATTCTATTTTCGTTTTCTGCAAGCCTGCATTCCTGTGGTGGGTTATGCAGAATTGCGTTCCTGTTTTTCTCTCTGTAGCCCCATGACTAAGCTTTATGGGTGTTAATTGAAATTTTTACAACAATTGATTATAAACCATAAAAAGTTGACCACAGGCAGTGATTTCTGACCGGTGGCTTGGTCCAGGAAATGTATACAAAATCAGACCTGATTTACAGTTTTAAAGCTATTGATGACAATAGTACCAAATGCTTTAAATATTTACCTGAACTTTGAAAATCATCATATAGATAGTAAAATTTTGCTGTATGGAATACCATGTAGTGCTGAATCCATCCTGGTTCTGATGATTCTTATTACTCTGTATTTACAAAGGCACACACAGTCCTCTTGTAGTTTATGCTCCATCATTTTGGGCATAGCATCTGCATAGCTAGTCCTTCCAGTGGGAGAGCGGCGGCAGCATGCTGTAGTCTCTATGCTGCGGATCTTATGAATGACACCAGTTTGCTACTAATTATGAGCATTTATTAAACAAAACATTTAAAATTACAAGTTATATTTTTTAAAAATTACTGCTTAGAAATTGATGTTTATTTTATGAAGCACTATATTTTGTAGCTGATGACAAAGGGCAGGCAAATATTTTTGATGAATCAGTGGCAACTGCATTTTTGTCTTTTGAAATTGTTCTGAAAACATCAGGACACATAGCTTTCAGTCCGATGGCACACACAGCAAGCTGTTGCTTTTTAAATTCTGAAGCCTTGTCAGTTTTGCTTTTAAGATTTCAAGTTTTAAAATAGTCTTATCTATGAAACTGTTTGAAGGATGAAGCAGATCTCTGACTGACATTTAAAAATATGTCCTCTAGATGGTGTGTGGTGGAGGCATATGTTTCTGAATTCAGTAAAAGTGATTCCTAAGTATATTATCCTAATCCTTTTGTTACAGTTGATATAAAAAGGCATGAACTATGTACTCAATACCTCTTATGTAACCAAAAAATGTTTTTTTATTAGCTTTTAAGGACTGAGAGAGTGCATTGGGTTCACCTGGCATGCACTCTGTCTGCCAATGAAGTCCTCAACTGTTTAGTGTTTTCAACTGACATTATTTATAATATATGAATTTAATATCTTTTTAAAAAGACAATAATTGAAGTCTCTGGGAGGAACCTTTCAATTCCCAAGGGGACTTATTCGTTTGGGATCGTAAATGAGATCCTTTTGATCTATCAGAATATTGATGGCAGAGTACCTTTTATCTTGTTGGAAAGAAGGCACGTGGAAAGGTCAGAGATTAAGTAGTAAAGTTATGGAATATAGTGAAAGGATACCAGTTGTGAAATGAAAATAGACACGTTATAGTACCCCAAAAGCAAGACAGGCAGAAGGTATGAAGGGTGCACTCCCAAAAACAAAATAACAATTTTCAACTACAAACTTTATACCAAAAGACTGTTGTAGAAGAAAAGAAGGCTTTCGTGCACTTTATGTGGCAGGGGAGGGGCAGGGATGGAGCCCTGTCTATGCTGATGCTGAGCAGCAGGTGGACAGGGCATGAGCCTGCTGTGCTTCCAACACACGCAGTGATTTCGTTTTCCTGAAGGACCCGTGATTTAAGTTCCTTTTATTTCTTCCCTCTCCAAGTCTCCGAGAGAGATGGGGGTGATGTTTATGTTGCTACTAAATTGAAGGAAGCACTATTTCTTTTTCTCTTGTGTTAGCAATAATTGCAAAAAGAGTTGTACATTCTAAGAGGAAAAAAAACAAAAACAAAAAAAAACAAGGGACCTAACAAAACTGAGCAGTGTTACTGTATTTTTAAAAAATATTTTTATAGACTCATTTTCAGGTTATTAAGTGTAAAAGAAACAGATACCCCTCTTTTTTTCCTAAAGTAGTTAAAACATCGATGATTTGTATTATCAATTTTTAGAAATAATTTCCTAATAAACTGTGGCATTAGAAAATACTAGAATTTTTTTAAGTGAAATTAGTTGAAACATTTGTTAATGAATATAACAAACATTTTTTTCAGAATTAAACATGGACTCTGACTATGTGCTTACTAATAGATAAAGCCAGATATAATTTTTTGTGTTTGTTTTTAAGGCCATAAAATATGGCTTTTGTTAAAGAACACTAAAGCTAGAAATCTATGTAAGAACAACTTTTTAAAGGCTACTTCCTATTATTATGAGTGTTAAAACCCCTGCAGAATCATGATAAGGTGCTATTTATATTGTTTTTCTTATTAGAAAACAACCACCAGGATATCTAGTCTTTTTAGTTCTACATCCGTCAACTTCAACATTTCATTCAGTAGTTTTGCCATAGAAAAGGCATATTAAAATTGAAATAGGAAAGTAATTTCATGTATCTTTCTTTCTAGGTACCCCCCCTCCCCCATTAAACATATTTTCTTGAAGTAAATACATTGTTAAAACCTATTTGCAACTCCATTCAATCTAGTAATTCTTAGTGTTTCACCTTAGTATTAGGATGTGAAATGCCATCTCTTTCACTGATTACACAGACTACCAGAAGCACGTAAAACAGGAAAAAAAGACAGTATGCCAAGGGGCTATTCCCAGTTTAGCAGAAAAGCTCTCAGTAGAAGAAGGTGATCTGAGTGATAGGAGTATAGGAGTGTTGCTAATTACGAGTTGTTTTGTCATGATATAATTAGGAAGTAACTTCTGAAAGTACAACTTCTATGAAAAAAATAAATTATAGATTAGTTTAATTGGGAAAATGGACCATTGACAGAGACTGTTTCCCTAACACACTAAATCATTTCTGTGTTAGTACTTTAACTTTTTACAAATTTTATTTCTACATTTTATAATGTGTTTAATTTTAATTTAGAATGCTATGTGTACAGAGTATGCAGCCAAATCAGGCAGATCAAACCATTTTACCTGGACTTTGGTACTAGTTTTTACTTCTCTGATTCTGTAAAAGAAAAATAAATACAATTGAGTTTCCATATGGAGCCTTTGCCTTTTTATTATTTGTGTGTGTTCCTTTTCCTGAGGGCTTTGGGTGGTACTAAACTAAAGAGAAGCTTATGCAACCCTCCTGGCAGAGAATGAAAGAAAGAAAATTTTGTAGGCAAACATTTTTTTGGCTCAAATGCTTGTTTTTCAATATTCTAAATATCCTTTATTTGAAGTGACCCTCTGGGATTTTTAAAGACTGTGCATATGTATTGTGTGTATACTTTAAAACTTCTACTGTCCTTCCAGCACCCTCACAGACATCAGAAGTATAGGAATTCAGTTTTTCTTCTATTGTTAACAGTATGGTATACCTCCTTGTGATCATTCACTCTGTGCACTGGGACTGTGTTTTCTCTGCTTGTTGAGTCCCTTGACTCTCACTGCCATGATCCTTTTGTCACTGCACAAGAACACTGGGGGAGCACACTTGTGGCAGAGAGTGTTTAAACAGAAACATTCAGCTAAATAGCAGAGAGAAGAGATGCTAGTAGAAACATTACCCACATTCCAGGGTCTAAGTCTCATGCATCATTTTAAAAACCATATTTCATCATCATTTGTAAGGTAACGTGCTCATTGTTGAAAATGTTATAAATCACATGTATAATGTAAAACTAAAAGTTCTGTATCCCCCAAATCTCACATTAAAATAAAAAAAACTACATTAGATGCTTTATCTATACGTGAGATTTTTTTTTTTTAGCAAATGGAAAGCAGTTACACATGCTGTTTAGAAGCTTTCACTTTTTTCTCTTAATAACAATGATATTACTAATACCTATTGAGCATATACTATATGCCAGAAACTATGCAAAACAATTGCTATAATCTAATATGCACAGCAACCTTACTATTTTAAGGATATTATCCTCAATTTACAGATGAAGAAATTGAGTATTGGAGAGGTTATGTAACTTGTATAAGGTCACACGATAAGCAACAGATATATCACATACCTTCTGGTCATCTTTCCATGCCAGTACATATAGTTGTATACTTCATTATTTCTAACAACAAATAATATTCTTTTGTATGGATGTCCCTTATTGATAGCCAGGTGGTAGCTACAAATACTGTTTTAGAAAAGGGCATATTCTTGTGTGAATATGGCTGGAGGGTAAGTAACTTCCTAGGAAAGAAATTACTACATCAAAAGATATGTGATTTTAAATATTGATAAATTCTGCCAAATATTTTTCAAAAAGGGACCTACCCATTTCTACTTCTAACAACAATGTGTACAAAGGTCTGTTTCACCATTGCCAACCTAGAGCTGCATAATGCCTAACTTTTTAACATCATTTAAAAATTTTTTAATTATAGTTGACAAAATATTATATTAGTTTCAGGTGTACAACCCAGTGAATAGACATTATAAAACTTACTGATAAATCTCGTACCCATGTGACATTATACATAGTTATTAGAATATGATTGACTATATTCCCTATATTGTACTTGACATCCCCATGACTGTTCTGTAACTACCAATTTGTACTTCTTAATCCCTTCACCATTTCACCCATCCATTCCTCCCATCTGGTAACTGTCAAAATGTTCTCTGTATCTATGAGTCTGTTTTCTGCTTGTTTGTTTATTTTGTTCTTTAGCTTTAATTATTGATAAATATGTATTTGTTGCCATATCTTTGCCCTTTCCCCCCCTTCTTGAAGATCCTTTAATATTTCATTTAATACTGGTCTAGTGGTGATGAACTCCTTTAGCTTTTCCTTGTCTTGGAAAGTCTTTATCTGACCTTTGATTCTAAATGAAAGCTTCACTGGGCAGAGTAATCTTAGCTGTAGGTCTTTGCTTTCATCACTTTATTTCTTGCCTCTCCCTTCTAGCCTGTAAAGTTTCTGTTGAGAAATCAGCTGATAGTCTTATGGGAGCTTCCTTGTAGGTAACTAACTGCTTTTTTCTTTCTGCTTTTAAGATTCTCTCTTTGTCTTTAGACCTTGGCATTTTAATTGTGATGTTGCTTGGTGTGTGCTTCTTTGGGACTTTCTGTACTTCCTGGTCATAGTGCCTGTTTTCTTCACCAGGTTAGGGAAGCTCTCCATCATTATTTTTTCACATAGGTTTTCAGTTCCCTGCTCTCTTTCTTGTCCTTCCAGCACCCTCATGATGTGAATGTTAGTATGCTTGAAGTTGTCCCAGAGGCTCCTTACACTCACCTCATTTTTGGGTTCTTTTAAAAAGTATTTTTGCTCTTCTGATTGGGTGTTTTTTGCTTCCTTATATTCCAAATCACTGATTTGACTCTTGGCCTCATCTACTTTACTGTTGATTCCCTATAAATTATTCTTCATTTCAGTTAGTGTATTCTTCATTTCTGACTAGTTCTTTTTTTATGGTTTCCTATCCTTTTTATGCTATTGAAGTTCTCTCTAAGTTCATCTATTCTTCCCCTAAGTTAATTGAGCATCCTAATAACTAGTGTTTTGAACTCTGCATCTAATTGATTGCTTGTCTCCATTTTGTTTAGTATTTTTTCTAGAGTTTTGTTCTTTCATTAGGGACATAGTTCTTTGTCTCCAGTATTTGTTTCTATGTATTAGGTAGACCTGCTACATCTCCCGGGCTTGTTACAGTGGCCTAATATAGTATGTGTACTGTATGGTCCAGGGGCATAGCCTCCCCCTTCACCCAATCAGAGCACTCCAGGTGTACCCCACCCTCGTGTGGGCTGGGTACACCCTCCTGTTGTAGTTGAGCCTTGATTGCTGTTGGCACCTCAATGGGAAGGATTTACCCCCCAGGCCAGTTACCAGGTGTACTGGTTAATAATGCAAATTTTTTTTCAATAGATGGAGTTACACATATGTTGATATATATGCGATTTGATATGTATGCTATTTTGTTATGTTGACAACAAGCTTCAAAACTTCATATGTCAAATATTCTGAAGGTGTTAACATAGATATTTTTACACATAAAAATGTCAAATTTCATGCCAAAAAAAGAGCATTTGTGGCAAGTTTTAATTCATTATTTTGAAGAAAAGTGCTGATGAAAGTTATTGTATACTTCGGGAAGCTTATGGTGAACATTCTCCATCTCAAGATACTAGTAAGTCCCGGGTGGTGGCAGGATATGACTGAGGACTTTGTGTTAGTCTCAGGCAAAACACACGTGAAGTACACACAAACCATGTCAACAAACCCTGGGTAACTGTCTTGGCACACACCTGCAAATGCAGGAAGAGACTGCTATCTAGCACATATTGTAATCCATGGAGTGTATTCGTCCAAAAGGTGAGATGGGACAAAAGTAAGAAGAGGGAAGAGGTGACAGAGGTGGAAGAGGATGGAGAGGAGAAGGAAGAACAAAATAAATCCAGGATTTAGAACAATTCATGGGAAAGAACCACTGATTGTACTCCAAGGAGAAAAAATAATCTGCCTTTCCATAAAATTCTTTTGTTCTGTGTTAGAAACGATAATAAGCTGACCCTGATCTAAACACAACATATCAGGAAGAGTTCAATCAGAGATCAAATCTATATATATAAAAGGCTAAGCTACCATCAGACTGGCCAGTAGGTATGACGTGCACTGGCCACCAGGGGGCAGATGCTCAACACAGGAGCTGCCCAGTGACAGCAACTCTCGCACTCTGGGACCCCTCCCAGAGATGTTGGGAAGCCAGTTTCGGCCCAATTCTTAAAGGCCAGGCCAAGGGATCCCACCTGCCAGAGGGACCCCGCTCACTCCCCAGATGCATTTTAAGCCTCGGCGCCTCCCCAGGTGCAGGCAGCCAAGGAGAGACTGTGGAAGGCTGACTCCAGGGCATGTCTGGCCAGTCTCACCCAGTCCTGTCCTGCCAGCCACCTTCTAATTAATTTCCTTTCAATGTTCACGAATCTGTGCACTGGGTCACTAGTAGTATTATAAAAAGCATTCAATTTCACTGTTAAGCCCATCAGCAGATGAGTGGATTAAAAAACTGTGGTACATCTAAGCAATGGAACACTATGCTGCTGGAAAAAAGAAGGAACTCTTACCATTTGCAACAGCATGGATGGACCTGGAGAGCACTATGCTAGTGAAATAAGCCAGTCTGAAAAAGATAAATATCACATGATCATCTCAGTCATTTGTTGAATATAATGAACAACATAAGCTGATGAAAAAATATAGATCCAGAGACATAGAAGCATGAACAGACCATCAAACCTCAGAGGGAAGGTGGGTGGAGTGGGGGAAAGAGAAAAACCAAAGGACTTGTATGCATGCATGTGAGCATAACCCATGGACACAGACAGTAGCAGGAGGAAGGCATGTGCTGGGGTGTGGGAATGGCCAGGGAGAGGTCAATGGGAGAAAAAGGAGACATATGTAATACTTTAAACAATAGAAAAATTTTTTAAAGGAAGTACAAATTATAACAGTAAGATATTTTATACCTATCATACTTACAAAAATTTAAGAGTTAGACCAAATTTCTCACCACAAAAAAAAAAAGAAAACTGCAACTATTTGAATGATGCATGTGTTAACTAATTTGATGTGGCAATCATTTTGCAATATATGCATATATAAAATCACTACATTGTACACTCTAATGTTATATGTCAATATCTAAATAAAACTGGGGGAAAAACAATTCACTTTCATTGTATATTATTACTAGAATAGAAAATATATTTTTCATTCAAATTTTGAATATTTACATATTCTACATATCTTCTCTAATATTTTGTGAAAAGTATAAACTGAGGGGAAAACAAAAAAATGTTAGAGTTTATACAAATCAAATTTGACTACATTTTTTTTTTGAAGTTGCATGTTTGTTGTAAAACTTAATCTTAAAAAAATATTAGGGGGTTGGTCAAGATGGCAGCATAGGTAAATGCAATACTCCCATCCTTTCACAACCACATCAAAATTACAACTAAACTACAAAAGAGTCATCATTCAGAACCACCTAAAATCTAGCTGAACAGAAGTCCTACAACTAAGGATATATCAAGACTGATAGGAGGGACAGAGACACAGAGCGGGCTGGTCCCACATCTACATGTGACAGTTAAAAATTGGGAGAAATATCTTGGCTGCTTAGAGTGAATGGTCCCATCCACGTACCAGGTCACCCAGACCAGGGATCCAGTGCCAGAAAGAGAAGTTCCCCATAACTTCTGGCTGTAAAAACCACTGGGGATTGAGCCTGAGTGAGACAGAGGCTGCTGGAGTCCCAAGCAGTTTCTCTTCTAGGGCCCTCAAAGGAACTTACTTGGACTCACTCCCTCTGAGCTTTAGTGCTAGACAGCAGCTAGAGAGACACTAGGGGCATACAGAGAGGAACTGATTTTTCTGGCATTGGGGCTAGAGCTGTAGAGGCAGCTTTCTCTCTGACAGAAGTGATAGCAGAGCTAGCAGGCAGGTGCTGTATCTGAGTTTCCATCAACCTGGCTCACTGTTAGCCCCACCCTGTTGATACCCTGAGACCCCATCCCACCCAGCTTGTGGGCCCACCCATGCTGTTTCCATACAAATGGCCTGTCTTGACTCATGCTTCAGACTTTCTTAACGTTTCTTAAAAAAGCAGTATCTAGCCTCGGCATGTCCCTGGCACTAGAAGCAGTTGGCCTTGGTTCATGGCTTAGACTCTCCTGGGCACCTCCAAGCCCAGCACCAGTCTCCTGGGCACCTCCAAGCCCAGCACCAGTCATAACTATCTACAGATCACTTTGTAGCTCAAGAAGAAAATAGGCAGCAGCTGACCTTGGCCAGCAACTCTTGAAAGGCCCTAGAGCCAGTGCATCCAGTGGACAGCTTCAGACCTTGTCAAAGTACCACCCCAAGCAACAAACTCAAGGGACAGACTCAGCAGGCACAAGAGCCCCACTAAAATAAATCTTGCTCCATCGGGTGGGCCCCTGCACAGCTGATCCTCCACAATGGACACAGCCTTGAAGCTACTAGTAGTCCATTAAAGAAGTATGGTGTCATAATTGGGATGATCCCATTTGGTTGGGATGGTCCACATAACCATTGGTGTTCAGGTTTGTTTGGAGGTTTTGGTCCCCCACTGGAGATCTCCAGAGTCCTAGTGTCTTCCTTGAGCTGTTAAGAGCAGATCTGTCCTCATTCCTGGGCAGACACCTACCAAGTGGGCCTTTGGCCTTGTGCTCATAGACTCAGTAGGACTGAGGCAGAGGGAGAGTTCCACAAACAGCCCAGGTTAACGCCCAGTGCCATGTGCTCAGAGTCGGGAACCACATGCAGTTGTAGGAAACACAGTTTAAACTTCTATACTCATGGGCCTGTCATGGATCCATGAGCTCATGTCAGTCCCTCAGTTCAATTTGTAGCTCAGATGCCCACTTCCTACTTTTTTTTCCTGGCTCAGTATGGAAATCTTCTTACAGTTTATTTCAGGGCCAGGAGCACTACCTTACTCAGCCTGAGGGTGTAGGAGAAATGGCGTGGGCTCTGGGCACCTCCACTGACACAGCGCATCTATGGATTGCCTACTATGTGCTAGGTTCCTTGTTAGGCACTGGGGTGTAGCCTCGGATGAGATACTGTCCTTTCCTTTGTGCTTTTGTACTCCAAAATGTAGAGACACAAATCACGTACTCAAGAAAGCAATACCAAGTTAGGAACTCACATAAGGAAAATTTCTGGACAATTTTATTACCAACCTTGGTGTGTGTGTGTGTGTGTGTGTATGGGAGGATCTGCAAAGGAAGGGCCCATTCAACCTTACCCTTTGTTTCCTGTCTCTTCCTTCCAAGTCCTCTTATCCATGGCAAGCTATTTTTCCCAATTTTATAGTAATTGCATTTGGAAAATGGCTTTTGTGTAAACATTTATCAAAGTAGTGTGTCACTTCTTTAATTATAAAATAATGAAACTGTATTTGGTGATGAATACAAACCTTCATTTCTAAAATGTGTTTCAATGAAAAGCCCTAAATAAGGAAGTGATGCCTCATCCACATTCTTATTTCCTCAACAAAGAACTTAGGTTGATGAGTCAGTCCCAATGCTCTGCTGTCTCTGAACTTCTGGCACATAGTTACCAGTGTGACCCTTTAGGATTCGGCATATACTACCTTGGGTTAACAGTGATCTGTAGAGTGTGAGCTCCCAGTGGGGTCTGACTCCTTTTCATCCTTGGTGCCTGCCAGTCTGTGGTCTAGTCAATGGTTGCTCACAGTGGCTAGTTTTTAGTTTTTAAAACTCAGCAGCTTTAAAAAGTAAGTAACACCAGAGATAGACATCCATGCCTCATGCCTGAGATTTCAGATGCAGTAGGTCTATGCTGGGGCTTAGGAATCATAATTTTAGAACATTTCCTGGGTGATTGTGATGATTGGCCACATTTGAGAACAAGAGGTCTTAACGCATTTGAAACCCTGTGTGTGTGTATGTGTGTGTGTGTGTATTTATAGGTCCCTCAAGGAGACCGTAATGCGTAACTGCCTGCCTTTCCTCCTTCTTCCTGTTGAGTGCCAGATTTGACCTCTGATCTCAGAGATCTCATTACAGTGAGGGCAAAGTCAAAAGACGTGTACTCCTCAGTCTTCAGTGGTGATTCCCCCAGTGGCCAACACTCAGGGGTGATTGGTAACTGCTTTGTTAATGGCTATAAGAAGCCTCATTGTCAGTGTGCCTATGAGCTTGGCAGGTGCAGAGGTGAGACTTGCTGGCTTGTAACTCCCTCCGAGGTCCTCACTATGCACGGGCCATGTGGACAATCGCACAGGCCTCCCGGTTTCATCCTTGGGACTTCAACATTTCTTAACAGTCCTTTTACAGATGAGGAAACTGAGACTTAGAAAGTAAGTTTCACAGGATTCCAAGCTGGTATATGATGGAGTTGAGGTTTGAACTTAAATCAACACAATTGGGTTAACTGTATATTAGTGCCTGACCCATAAAACTAAAGTCTTAGTGTCATAATATAACACATAGAATTAATAATATCTATTATCTTAACCCTAGGCCATTGGCTGACAAGTTATTACCAAAAATAACATTTAAAACATATTTGTTTGTTTGATCAAAGGAAGCATTTGTAGAAAGGTGAGAAGAGGTATAATTCATTCAACCTTCTGCCCCTCCTTCACCATCCTTATTATATTATCACTGAATTAGGATTTTAATTTAATATTCATAAAGAAATGTGTACTAATAATGACAGGCACAAAAGACTAGTTTTAAGTAAGCCAAAAGAAACCAAATAACATTATTTATGATACATCAGTCACTCTTTCCCTCCATAAACCTGGAAAATAAAAATTGCTCTTAGTTTCTCATTTTTAATGTGCTTCCTTCCTTTGAATTATCTTAAACTTCCAAAAATATAAACACCACATATACAAAGAAACAGTGTGGTGGTACATGCGATTTTATACATTTTTCACTTCTGTAGAAAAATTCTGTAAATTTATTTTTAATCTGCTCATCAATTCTAAAAGGAAGTCAATTTGAAAGATTTATAAATGTAACCTAGGTGGGCAACCTGTTTCTATTTGAAACTAACATAAAGCTCTAAGGCTAGCTAAGCTGGTTAGAAAGGACACGGAATAACTGTGTCCACCCTAAGCTTGGACAGTGTGAAAGCAGGGAAACTGACAACCCCAAAGAGAGAAGGTTAAGTTTAATGTGTCTTTCAAGATGCCATTGAGTAATGAAGGTCATCACAGTGGTTTAAACTCTTCTATATCCCTATAAGACAGAAAAAGTTAATTATATTATTGTTGTTATTATTACTGTCCTTTTGCTTGCTTTCCCTTTCCCCTTTCCCCTCCCCATTACCCCTGTTCTACAGATTACTCTTGCCACTTACTTGTTACCTATATTCAATTCTCAATGCTTTCTCCTACATAACTATGTCTCTCATCTGGATTATAAAAATACAGATTTTGCATTGGTGTGTTCTGTTCTTTCCCTGGAGCCTATACCATATATTATGTGGCAACTTTAACCCACTCTGTTGCTCTAGTTAGGAAATGGGGAGAACATTTCAGGCCATGCTGTGATGCGCTACAGCGACACATGCCCACTTCCCGGGGACTTTCACATGACATCACTGCACATTTATCAATGCATACCCAGTCCTTTGCCTCCAGGACTATGGTCAACTGGATGTGAGCTAAAAATTTGGGTCAACTTGTGCCTGGATGTTAACATACACAGAGGACAGAGTTTCTGGGTTCCAGCAACACAATGTCACTGTTCCCTGGGTTGACAGAGGGAGCTGCCAGACTGTCCAGCCTGGCTGTGGCTTTCTGTAGCTGCGACCCTCTCCACTCTGTCATTCCACTAGTGCTGGAGGCCAGCCTTGGCTTCCCATCCTGAGGAGTAAGGACAAAGACCTCAACTTACCCCACAGCAGTCTCCACACAGGGTCCCCAGGAGGCCGTTAACCACCTGGATGGTGCAGAGAAGCATCTGGAACACTGCTATGATGAGCAGGATGGAGAAGAGGGTCAGATTCCAGGACACCACGTTTTTGGGCTCCTTGCACTTGCTCCATAAGGCTTTGTCATTGAGGTAATCCCTGTCAGGGGCATGGGAAAGAAAGGAAACAGCTGTAAAATGTAGGCAATACCTAGACTAGAAAGTCACAATAATAATTTTTCATTTGAAATACTTTTTATCCAAAACATAATCTCAATAAGAAATACATCACGTAATACCCATATTTTTAATAATACCTAACATTTCTATAGACTGTATACAATGTGTTAGACTCTGTTCCAAATATTTTACATTAACTATTTTATTTCTTATAGAAGCCTTATGCTTCTTTTATTCTATTTCACAAATAAAGACATTGATGCACAGAGAGATTAAGTGAGTTCCCATAAGTCACAGAGCTAAGTGACAGAGTGACTTTTTAAAAATATATATTTTATTGATTTTTTACAGAGAGGAAGGGAGAGGGATAGAGAGTTAGAAACATCGATGAGAGAGGAACATCGATCAGCTGCCTCCTGCACACCCTGTACTGGGGATGTGCCCGAAACGAAGGTGCATGCCCTTGACTGGAATCGAACCTGGGATCCTTCCACTGAGTCAAACCGGTCAGAGCTGACAGAGTGACTTTGGTGAGCTGACTGAGAGGATGGGTAAATTCAGTATCTAACGGGGAGCCAGGAAAATGAAGACACTCCAGGAAAAGAATCTCACCACCTGGGCTTGGCTCCACCTACTGTGATTTGGGGCCACTTGGACATTTGACACAATTCTGCCACGTCTAGTGGCCATCTGAAGTCATGTAAAGCATAATCGTGTCACATAGTTAAAGGGGAGAGCTTGTCTTTTTTAAAGGCCTAATGCTAAGCAAATTGTAAATTTGACTCAAGTATATTTTTGTCAACATGTGGGAATTCCACTTGCAAAAAGATTTAATTAACTAGAAGCACTAAGTAATCTGCTGCCTTAATATGTATCTTATAAAAACTTGGAAATAGGAGAACTGCAATACATTTACAAACTGTATATTAGGAGTCCACTGTGTGACAATGCACGTCGTGCATGAAGGAGGAAAGTGAAGCACGCTGTCTTCAACGCCAACCACAGGAAAACAGTCAGTCCTTTGGGTCATTATCCTTCCTCTCACATTCTCAGAGCCACAGATTGGTCTCCCCGTCTTCCTTTATGGCTCCTCTATCCTCCCAAGGCCTCAATGGGAAACTCCATCTGCATGTGGCTACTAAGTCAACACCCACCTTATTGTTTTTAGACCTTTTTGACATGATGAATCTTTTAGTAATCAGTACAAACTTATTTAATACATTCTGTGTAAAAACTTGAAAAACGTTTGCAATGATGGACGGATGGAAGATACTTTGGCATTTAACAGTCAAAAGGACAAAGGAAAGGGCATTTGCTCTTGCTTTAAAAATAAAACATTGTTCATAGCATCGATGGACCTTTCCATAAGAGCACATGTTCTAGCTGCTCACTAGCTGTGTGACTTATCTGTAAAATGGGAACATTATCTATGAAATCGTAGAATTATTGTGATTAAATGACTTAATACTAGGCTTGATACTAGTAGAGTGCTTAGGACAGTGTCTGGCATATGTTACGTCTCAATAAATGCTAGTGTTATTATTTCACTTAATCTGAGCTGTCTGGTCTAAAGGAAAGAGTCTGGTATTTTGGATTTCAATGGACTTGAGTTTGAATACAAGCATTCCTCTTACTAGGGTGTATTCCTCACACAAGTTACGTATCCCTTTCCCAGCAGCAGTACCAGTTTCTTTATCTATAAAAGAGGCTAAAAGCAACCTCTCAGTTGTGGGAAGTCACTGAGATAATACACCATACGTATTGTTGTGTAAGACTTCTTTTCAGTACTTATTATTTTTAAACACACGTCTTTCTGTTCTGCATTTTTCCATGTAGTCCTATCCCTCTTTACAGTTTTTAAACTTGATGACGGTAGGAAGTTACAGGGAGACAATATTTTCCAGGCACGTTTGGTAAAGAGAAGACCCTGAAATAAAGTGATTGGCAGTCCTGAGTTCTTCCCTCTTCTGAAGGTGTGTGCAGTGGGCACACTCACACCCTGCTTGTGAGGTGATGGTCCCATACCCAGCTCTCATGAACTCACTTTAGTCAGCGTTTCTCAACCTGTGGGTTGCGAGCCCTTTGGCGGTCAAAGGACCCTTTCACAGGGGCCGCCTAAGACCATCCTGCATATCAGATATTTACATAAGGATTCCTAACAGTAGCAACATTACAGTTATGAAGTAGCAACGAAAATAATTTTATGGTTGGGTCACAACATGAGGAACTGTATTTAAAGGGCCAGGAGGTTGAGAACCACTGCTTTAGAGAGTGGAAAAGTCCTTTTTTAAAAGTTTTGCTATAGGTAACTGTGCCTTTAGCACCTCCTGGTGGTGAGATCAGCTCACCGGGGAACTTGGAAACAAGGATTGAGTTTGGTGCCTGGAACAGTCCTCTCAGTCCCACTCACAAACCACCTCAGATGCTGGTCCAGGCCCTTCTCCCATCCCCAAACTCCCAGGTTCTGAGACTCTCAGAGATGCCAGCAATGATTGCTGTGCCCAACTCTCCAACCTCATATTCCTTGGACCTGGGGGCTAATAATGTTTCCACACTCTGTGAAGCAAGGGGAGCTGAGGCAGTGTACAGCCAGTTTACTGAGCTGGAGTTTTACAGCATCCTGCTCTTGGGAAGGGCATTCCCATGGAGCAGCAGTAATCCATCAACATCAGAATGGAGCATCACGGAGTTCATGCAACTCACTTCTTGCAGCTGAAAGAAGGGCAGGGGAGCCCCACTGCTTTGCTGGCCACTCTGCCTGGCTTTGGTCCCCTTCTGTGCTTCCCAGCATTCTGTGTCATAGTCTGGCCATTTGTCTGTCTTCTATTCGGATTGTACACTCACAAGGACAGAGACCATGTCCCCTGTGTTAGTTGTCTCATGTGTCTGCTAATAAATTTTGAATGTCAGTGGAAACACCACAAATCTCCTTCCCTCAGGCCAGCTTTGGTGCCCTCTTTTGTGATCTCTCCTGGTCTCTGTCAAAGCAGCAGTTAGGGGTGAGATCTTGTGCAACTTAAGTCCACCCTCCAGTTCTGCCTCTCAGACCAACATGCCTGAGACTTGCAAATTAAGATGACAGGAGAAGATGCTCAACATCACTAATCCTCACAGAAATGCAAATTAAAATCACAATGAGCTATCATTTCACACCTGTCAGAATGGCTATTATCAATAAATTAACAAACAAGTGCTGGTGAGGATATGGGGAAAAGGGAACCTTTGTGCACTGTGTAGGAATGCAGGCTGGTGCAGCCACTGTGGAAAACAGTATGAAGTTTCCTCAAATAATTTAAAATGGAAATGCCTTTGGACCCAACAATCCCATTTCTGGAAATATATCTAAAGAGCCCAAAACACTAACTGTAAAGAATATATGCACCCCCATGTTCATAGCAGTGTTATTTACAATAGCCAAGATCTGGAAACAACCCAAATGACCATCAGTAGATGAGTGGATAAAAAAAGCTGTGGTACATTTACATAATGGAATACTTACTCGGCCATAAGAAAAGAAGGAACTCTTACTCTTTGCAACAGCGTGGATGGACTTACAGCGCATTATGTTAAGTGAAATAAGCCAATCAGAGAAAGACAAGTACCATATGATTTCACTCATATGTGGAATCTAATTTATAAAATACTAGATAAACAAACAAAATAGAAACGGGCTCATAGATAGAGAACAGACTGACAGCTGTCAGAGAGGAGGGTGGTTGTGGGGCTGGGTGTAAGAAATAAAAAAAAATACCTCATAGACACAAGCAACAGTATGGTGATTACCAGAGGAAAAGGGGAATATGGGGGTAGAAAAGTGTATATGGTGATGGAAGGAGACTTGACTTGGGGTGTTGAGCCCACAATACAATATAAAGATGATGTATTATAGAACTGTACACCTGAAACCTATATGATTGTATTAACCAATGTCACCCTAATAAATTCAATTAAAAGAAAAAGACGACAGGACATGTGCAGTGTCTCCCTTTGGCCATTTATCTGACTGTGTCCCTTGTGGTGACGAATGGGCATTGAAGGGTGTACCTTACCCGTCATGGAAGGGGTAGCCCCACTCGTTATTATCCATGAGACATTTAGGACCATGCCTGACTGAGATGAGTGAGATGACAAATGAGTACCCAGCACCCAAGAATCCAATCCCAGCAAATATTATGGAGGAGAACATCTGAAAGAGAATAAGAGAGACAGTCAGGTTCTTAAGTTGGTCCACAGGTTGTTCTCAACACACTTAACCAGCCTGCTGTTGAGCATGGTAGCTACGGGACGTTACAGGCAGATATCGGTCTTTCCAAAAGATGGGGCCTCTGGGGTCTCCTATAATGATTTTGGTGACATTAGCACACAGGCTCTGCTTATGAGAAAAATCAGAAGTCTAAAAATTCTCCTTGAGATCTAAATCATTAAGTCCAACCTCTCTCCCATGTAGTAGCAGCTTTTAAAATATCTTCAGACCTTTTATATCTTAAACATGTTTGCATTTAACATATCTCCTCCCCTTCCACTCTCTAAAAGTTTTTCTTTGGGTTCAACAAGCCCAACATTCTAGTTCTTTTTATTTTTTTTTAAATTTTTTAATTAAATCTTTATTGTTCAGATTATTACAGTTGTTTCTTCCCTCCCCCCCCCCCATAGCTCCCCTCCACCCAGTTCCCACCCCGCCCTCTGCCGTCACCCCTCCCCCCCCCACTGTTCTCATCCATAGGTGTACGATTTTTGTCCAGTCTCTTCCCGCACCCCCCACTCTAGTTCTTTCAAATGTTTTTATATGACATAGATTACTAGCATCTTTTTTAAAAACTTAATTATAAAATCAAAATAGAATTATATACCTGGTAATACTAGAGGCCCGGTGCATGAATTCATACACCAGTGGGATCCCTCAGCCTGGACTGTGGGATCGGCTGAAACCATCTCTCCAACATCCCCCGAGGGGTTCTGGATTGTAAGAGGGTGCAGGCCAGGCCAAGAGACTCCACCAGTGCATGATTGGGGCCAGGGAGGGACTGCCGGCGGGTTCCAGGGCGTGTCTGGCCCATCTCACTCAGTCCTGATAGACCGGACCCTAGCAGCAAGCTAACCTACCAGTCAGAGCATCTGTCCCCTGATGGTCGGTTCATGTCATAGTGACTGATCGACCAGTTGACTGTCTGCCCCCTGGTGGTCAGTGCACATCATAGCAAGCGGTTGAACAGCCTTAGCATATCATTAGCATACTAAAAGCCTGGTGCATGAAATTCGTGCATGGGGGGTGGGGTCCCTCAGCCTGGCCTGCAACAACGCAAGCGTTCTGTGCCTGGAGTGGCTAGAGGCCCTCCGCAGCCAGGCACAGAATGCTTGCCTCTTCACCAGGGTGACGACACAAGCGTTCCTCCCCCCCACCCCCCCCAGCCACTTTGTGCCTGCTGCCCAGAGTCCCTCCACGGCCAGGGTGGAATGCTGGCCTCGTCACTGTGGCAACGAAGCAAGCATTCCAACAGGCCGCTCATGCTGCCCGCTCTCAGCGGCCGCACCCCAGGACTGGGGGACTCCGTGGGGCTGAGAGGACTGGGAGCCACCATCTTGTGGCTATGGGCGCTGACATCTTTGTGACAGAATGATGGTTAATTTGCATATTACCCTTTTATTAGATAGGATTGCTCTTTGATTGGTTGAACAGATGACTGGAAACGTAGCATATTAGGCTTTTATTATATAGGACTAGTAGCCTGGTGCACGAAATTCATGCACATTAAAAGGGAATTAATTAGCGGAGATATTTTAATATTGCTATTTGCCCTTTCTCTATAATAGAAGTGTGAGAGATGAAAGGAAATTAGTAAAATGTATATGAAAATCATATATAAATTTATTAATAAATAGACAGTAACAAAAGGATATAACAACAACAGAGGCATGATATAAAAACGACAAAAACATGATATGAAAACAACAAAAACATGATATAAAAACAACATTGATGCAAACAATGACTAATAAAGTGATTAAACTTATTCTAATATCTCCCTGCACACCACATTAGGAGTGAAAACACTTTCAGAGTGCTTGACTAATTTCCCTTGTGATGAAGTATTTAGAACTTTAACTGTACCGTCACATGCTCTTCAAACTCAAGAGAAAGCAACATATAACTGACCATGTGCGAAAACAGGTTCAGGTAGGAATATACCTACTCTGTCTAGAGTTTGTCCTTGTGATTTATTAATAGTCATCACAAATGCTGGCATCACGGGAAACCATCATCGAATCAATTTAAATGGGAGACCAGTGTCAGATGGGGACAAATTAATTCTTGGAATCAGAACCTCTCTCTCTGCAGATCCTGTTAATACTTCAGCTTCAATAATGTTAGGTCATAATCTTTTGATAATAAATCTAGTACCATTACAAAGACCCCATTTACTATTAAGATTTCTCAATAGCATGATGATTGCACCCACTTTCAATTTTAATTTATGACGCGGCATTCCCGAAGGAGTAATACTATTAAGAAATTTGATGGGAAAATTTTCCTTTTCAGCATCATCTGTGGAATCAATGGACTCATCACTCAAATATGTGTGAACATCTCCATCGAGTATATCCAAAATGTCTTCATTTAATTTTTGAACATGCTCATTTTTTGGACAAAGAATTGCACATTTAGATATATTTTTAATATTATCTATAAATATAGTATTTCCAAAGGTAGCTTCAATAATTGATCCATTACAAATCATTTCACAGAAGATTTCAATAATATCCATTCCTAAATGAAAACTTCTATCAAGTTTGCCATCTCCAAGTTTTACTAACCATCCACTATAAGCAGAATCCTCTGATCTCATATTTGTTGTAAGAGACAACTTTCTGAAACATCCCCAAATGTTGCAGTACTTTAAACTCGTTTGTACTATGGCTGATCACATAGCATGTGGTACAATACTGAGATACTGAGACACTGTCAAAAATCCCCTCCAATAAGGAGAACTTTCCCACCAAATATAACATTCAGACTCATAATTTCTCTTAGTAATCTGTCTATGACATTTATAGCATGACTCGATGCCATGGTGCATTCATCAATAATGAGAAGTTGGGCCTTTTTAATAGTTTTAGCAACTTCACTCTTTATATTGAGTCTAGAAATTGAAGTTTCATTTAATGGAATCAGTAATTTATATTGGGAATGAAAGGTTCTTCCACCGAGAAGTAAATTTGCAGTAATTCCTGTAGACGCTGTGGGTAAAACAGTACCACCACGACCTCTAATATAATGTATTAAAACTTTATACAAATATGCAGGTGAATAGGATTCCTAGCTGGCAGGCCCCTGACAGCAAGCTGGCCACCTGTCAATTCCATGAGGAATGGGGCTCCCTCCACTCTCCCGTCAGAGTCCGGGGTGCAGGTGAATGGGGTTCCTGGCTGGCAGGCCTCTGACAATAAGCTATCCAACAGCAGATTCTGTGAGGAATGGGGCTGCCTCCTCCCTAATGTCAGGGTCTGGTTTGAAGGCCGGCCATGCCCCCTGTTGGGCCAGACCCAGAGTTCTACCACACTGTGGCCTCTGCCTCAGCAACCCAGGACTGACTGCTTCTGGGCATTCCTGGCACTATGAGGGTGGGTTCTTCCCTCAGGCCTTGCGGGAAACAGCTCGGGGAGGGCGCAGCCCTTGGCAAGGCAACCCAGGACTCAGTACTTCCACGCTCCTCTCCGAGGGCGGGTTCCTGCCTGAAACCTCGCCCTCTGGGAAACAGCTGGAGGAAAGCACAGCCGTTTCCAAGACAACCCCTGCAGGACCGACTTCCTTCCTTCCAGGTGGTCGAGCTTCGGGATGTGATGTTACACCCAGGGTTTTTTATATAAGTAGATGGAAGGCCTAAAGAATCTTGGAGCCCATTCAGCTGTCTCTTATAGATAAAAGAAAAATTAGGCCCCGAGATGCAATTTCTATTCAAAACAGTAATAAAAGAGTAGTGCGGACACATTAATAATTTTGAAAATAGAGTTGGAAAATTATCACCTCTATTGCTTTACTTTGGTGACATGAAGGTGTACTGCAAATCACATGATTTTAAGTCAGCAGACTCAGGCTCAAATCTCAGTTTTGCTACTTTTCTCTGTGATGATTCTGCATAATCCTCAGAGCCTTAGTTTTCTCATCTATAAAATGGACACCAGAAAGCCTACCTAAAGGTCTGTTGTAAAAATTAGATGCCTGGAGGTAACAGTCATACTTCAAAAATCAATATATTAAAATTATTTTATACTTTATATAATGTAATTTAAAATAGGCATATGTCACTGAAAGTTTATATATTAATCATAGTTAAGAGCTTATTTTGAAACGTCCTTATGGGAAACTAAGATTTTTTTAAAAAAAATATATTTTTTATTGATTTTTCAGGGAAAGAAAGGGAGAGGGATAGAGAGTTAGAAACATTGATGAGAAGAGAGAGAAACACTGATCAGCTGCCTCCTGCACACTCCCCACTGGGGATGTGCCCGCAACCAAGGTACATGCCCTTAACCGGAATTGAACCTGGGACCCTTGAGTCTGCAGGCCAATGCTCTATCCACTGAGCCAAACCGGTTAGGGTCTAAGATTTGTTTTTATGTTAATTATTGCCTTATATTGGGGTACATATGGTAATTTGCAGAGTTTTCTAATCTCGTGGAACTTATAACTTTTTTTGGTGAGTTCTTGCAAGAGCACATTTGGGGAAATGCTGCTCCAGTTTGGAGAGAGCTTATCTAGCTTCTTTGTCTCTGAGCCACCTTCATGTTCCATCCAAACTGCTCTTCAGTTAGACAGACAGTGTTCCTCTAGGAATGGCCAGATCGCCCCAGTGCTGCCATTGAGAACTTCCACTGAGGTCAGTGTCCACTAATGCTGCGCCTCGCCTTTCAGAGCAGCTCTGCGTGGTCTGGAAATACCTGTTGACGTGTGGTCCTCCATGCCAGAGTGGGTGTCTCAACGAAAAACAGATTCTCTAAAGGGAGGGTTTCTCACATCTTAAAAGTGGTCAAAAGTGTTTCAAAGCCAGAATTGCCACTATATAAATGGTTAAATATTCTTATAATTATATTTTTGTATAAAAGATCTCAATAATCATCTACTGCAGCACCTCACTTTCTAACTAATAAAACTAGCTTCTGCCCTAACTGGTTTGGCTCAGTGGATAG